TTCTTATTTTTTAATGGAAATCCTTTGAGTTTTCCTCCATTCAGCATGATGTTGGCTGTAGGTTTGTAATATATAGCCTTTATTATGTCAAGAAATATTCTCACCAAGCCCAGTCTCTTCAGAATAATTCCTGAATAATAAAGAGATGATGAATTTTATCAAAGTGTTTTTCTGCATCTATTGAGATGATCATGTGATTTCTTTACATTGGGCCCATTTATGTGAGACATTACATTTATTCATGTGTGCATATAAAACTATCCCTAATTTTTTTAGACTGATGTGAACTTGATCTTTATGATGTACTTTTGAATTTGGTTTGCAAGTATTTTATTGGGAAAATTTTTATCTATGTCCATCAGGGAGCTTGGCTTGGCCTATAATTTTGTTTTTACTCCATTACTGTGTCTTTATCTAGTTTTGTTGTCAGGGTAATTCTGATTTCATAAAAGGAGTGTGCCTTGACTGAATTCCTTATTTTAACAAAGAAGAAAGATGAGGAAGGGAAAAGGAGAAGAGTGAAGGAAGGGAAAGAGAAGCAATGGTAATTCAGAGACAACCATGTTTACTGGGTTGATTTAGTGAATTTTCAAGTGTGTTGAGGTATGAGGGAAGTTACTTCTAGGGAGTAGGGTTTGAGCCACAGTGGAACCACAAATCCAAGTCCTGGGAAGAATCTTGAATCATGTATTTTTTCACTAAAGAAATGCTTATTGAGACTATAAAAGTGCAGCTTAATTAGAATACTTTTCAGATGTTCAAATAGGCATTTGCCCAAATAAATATTCTACAAATGGTCAGTATTTATGGAAGGATGCTCAAAATCCTTGGTCACTAAGCAAATGCAACTCAAAACCCACAATGAAGAACCATTCCAGGCCATAGGAGGGCAATAATTTGAAAAATGACATTTGTGGTTTTCTGTAACGGTCTGTCTGCTGCAGAAAGCAGCCTCTTCGATGAGGAGAGCTACATTTATCTGTGGCTATACGGGTAAGCGTCAGAATGTGGTCAGCAATTATGCTGCTTAGTGAAGTGTAGGAGGCTCTTCTCCGAGACCCATGCATTAGAGGTGATTTTAGTGATGGTTAACCATCCTCTGGACCATGCTGACTACCTGCCCAACAGTACACTCTAAGACACCCAACTCTTCCGTGCCTTATGGGATTGTAAACTGCTAACCACTCAGTGTCTTTAGTCGTAAGAGCCCAAACACGTGCAAAACAGTGTGATAGATTCTCACACTAGAATATTATGCAGTAATGTTACGATGCACACTGTGATGTGAATGAGTTTTGTCAATCAACACTGTGTACTGAGGGAGGCCATACATGAAAGATGTGTGGCTATGACTGTTTGTATGAAATAGAATAGATAAATTCTATAAGGACAGGATACATTTTGAAGGGCACAAGGGACTGGAGGAGAGGTTAGTGGGGACTGGCCACTAAAAGGGAAGGGGATTATGTAGTGTGATAAAAAATACTTTGGAAATCTATGTCAGTGGTGGCTGCTTAACAATTTGAACACACTAAATGGCACTGCCTTAATAGCTACTCTTAAATGAGTGATTTTCATTTTTAAACACACAAAAAGCACAAGCGCGCGCGCGCACACACACACACACACACACACAATGTGATGATCAGTCCCTGCGGCAACAAGGAGGAGTGATACTCTTTACAAAATCTGGGTGCAGAGCCCTGTCCCCTTGCAGCTGGCTGTTTAACAGAAGGTCTGTGGACACCTCCGGTTCGATGGGGACTTTGCAACCAGGTAACTCTAAAGTTACCAGCTAGAGCCCAAAGAAAGTGGGCAGGAATCGCCATATAAACCAGGAAGACAGAGGAGTCCCCTCTAGGGAGTGTCTGTGCAGAGACCACGCTGAACAGAGTGAGCTCTTAGGAGAGAATGCCCTAGGGGAACAGGACACAAGCTCCAACTTCTGAATGGGAACAAGGCTGGCAAGTTCTGCTTGAGATACTTAATGACTGGCAGAGTGTCCAAGAGGACACTGGGGGAATTTGAAGGATATGGCTGCACCATGTAGGGTTGTAGACATGGCCGGGGGTAGGCTGTCAGACTTGTTCTAAGTCGGTGGGGAGACCTTAGAGGATGACGACGAGAGAGTGGCACATTGAACAGCCAAGGGGAGCTGCCACCTAGCAGTGTTCCTGGTGACTTTATCCCAACTCTCCAGCCATGCAGGCTTTGCTAATCAGACACAGGCACTCTTGTGGTCCAGGGCTCTCACATCTTCTGACCCTGTGAGTTCAGACACATGCTGCTGATGTCGCAGGACAAGCTCGGGTGGTGCTTTGTGTCTGAGGTCATTGTGCGGACTTGCTGCTGGACAGGGACGCCAAGTGGTTTGTGTCACAAAGACCCAGTGCCATCTGTTAGAAGACCTGATGGATCAGTTCTTTATTGGCAAGGATATGCAGTCTGATATACGACAAACCTGTGATCCCAGAAAGATGTCAAGCCGCAGACTTAGTTTGTCCCCTGTGATTTCATAGCTGCCCTCAAAATAGCCACGGGTATGGCAGTTGTACCAGCGCCATGACACCTGGATGATGTGGGTGGCGTAACGCAAGCGGCGGTACCGCCGGCGGACCTGCAGCATTCGGAACCAGGACTGAATAGTGACACAGGCCCTTGTTTCTCGTGCCATCCGACACAGAGCCTCCATGCGTTTCAACTTGAGTGTTGTGGCCAGTGTCTGTCTCCACCAGCACTGAATGATCCAAGCATTGAGGGCAGCCGTCAGCAGCGTGCGCCGCACCAGGGTGCCTCGCCACCAGGCCTGGATCGTTTTGGCTGCCAGCTGTGGTGGTGGTAGTTTTGGCGGCGGCGGCGGCGGCGGCGGCGGCGGTCGTTTTGGCCGTGGTGATTCTTTTTCCTTGGTCTGAGGGTGGGAAAATAAGAAAGGTTATTCAGGCGTATCGCCACTTAGCCCCGGGGGTAATTTTGAAAGGGGTCTGATTCGAAGTCAATGGCCGTCGCTTCCTCTCAAGTTGAGGAAACCTGATCAGTCAACCCCTGACCCAGGAGACCAGGGAATAACGCCAGTACTATTTCCGTTCTGTTTCTGATCTTCTCTCTCTGCCATGCCAATTAATGAGCACACATCACCTTGTGCCCTGAGTCTCAACCTATAGAATGAGACATTTGCTCCGTGTAGAGGAAGAACCTTGTGACTTAAGAGGATCCATCTGGACTGGATCCCATACAGGGTCCACAGCCTCCCAGAAGACCTTCTATTTGATGGGAAGCTAGCATTCTCTGCTCACTCTGCTCTCTCCTCTACCTCAACCTGTAGCCTGATAACGCCACCTATCAGGTCCTAATGTTAAGCATCCTTGTCCATACAACTTGAGGTCTTTATCACTCTTCTTTTGCTTTTAGTACCTTGTACTTCAACACACACACACACACACACACACACACACACACACACACACACACACACACACTGAGAGGTGGGGAGAGAGGAGGGGGGAGAGAGAGAGAGAGAGAGAGAGAGAGAGAGAAGAGAGAGAGATACGCACATGCTCCTGAACAGTTCTGGTTGTGAGGTACCCTCTGACAACACACAGCCCAAATCCTGCCCTCACACCTCCCCCCTACTCAGTGCTGTTCCTACTCTTGCAGGTTTCTCTTCCTCACACCCATCTTCAGGCCTCAGTCCCTGCCTTTCTCAGGTCAGCAGGGCAACTGGAGGAGACAGCACAGGGAAGCAGCCTCTTCTCTGTCCATTCCAGCCAGCTGTTCATTCCAGCCAGCTGTTCATTCCAGCCAGCTGTTCGTTCCAGCCAGCTGGAGACAGTCTTGGTTTCTGACAGTTGTTGACAGTGAACATCCCAACCCTCTTTCTCACACAAGGATCCTGTATGGAGCATAAATTCCATGACTGCCTTAAGGTGTAGGCCACAGAGAAGACCGCTATCAGTCCAGGTGACATCGATCAGAGATGTGACAGATCACAGGCGACCTCCAACCTCAAACCACCTACCTTTTTTTCAGGTGGAGGTGTGGACTTTGATTTTTCATTTTTCTTTTTGGGTTTTGGTTCTGATACTTCTTCCACAGGGGTTTTGTTGGCTTTAACAACCTTTATAACAAGAGTTAAGGGGAAAGCTGTTAGTGGCTTGTCCTTTAAATAACTATGTCACTTTTAACGCATGCCCAGTTTCCCTAGACACAGTCTCATATCCTGATTAACTGGAAATCAGCCAGCTTCTACAGCCTATAACCTACCCCACACAGACAGCCCATGGTTGAAGATAGAGGTTCAACTCTCCCAGGTCTGCAGTTCCTTAAATTCCTCCATGGCTGGGGTTACGATGGAGCCATCGTCTCAGGTCTATACTCCTCCAGCCATGAAGCTGGCAGGAAGAGTGAGGGAAGGGAGCCTGTGATGATGTCATAAAGGCGCCTGTGATACAGGAATCATTCTAAGAGTTGGGTAGGATCCCATTCATTCCTACAGAAATCCCCAAAGTTGGGCTTTAAATGGGGGGTGGAGACAGAAGGTAACAGTTCTTCCAGCCTGTTGGCAGAAATGTCATCCAAACTACTGTGGATGACGGTTCGGCAGTTTCCAATAATGCCAAATATGTATCCACCCTACAACTCAAGGTCCCACTCCTGGGCAAAGGTGAAAGATTACAATGTGTATCTTCACAGTGTATACACATGGGCTGAGGGTGTAATAAGCTGTCAGAGTGCTTGTTAAGCAACCTGAAGCCCTGGGTTCCATCCTCAGCATTGTATAAATGATATGGGTGCGCATACTTGTGATTCCAGCTCTCCGGAAGTAGAGACAGATCAGGAATTCAAGGCCATGCTCAGCTATATTCAGCAACTTGAATGTATACACACACACACACACACACACACACACACACAGTGGAGGACAGAGGTAAGAAGCAGGCACATCTTCATTATGCATCCTGGATTATCTGTAAGGCTCATGTTATTAGCTTCCTCAGAAAACAAGGCACTTGAGGCCTGAAAACCATTAGGCCCTACCTAAGGCACAAACCCCTTTGGCTGTTTGTCTTTCTCTACCCTTGCAAGCAGCAGATCGGGGCAGCCACTTGGGCAGAAGCCGGGCCCCATCTCTATCTGTTCCTGGCTCTGGAAACCCCACTTGAAGGGCAGTTTGAGCGGAAAAGCTGGTAAGTAAGGCCTCAGACCCTGGTTCCCCTCAGAGGAAGTACCCAGGGGTAAAATGAGGGATGCGCTCGGAGTTTGTGGGAAGCTGATCTAGGACTATGAGGGACTGCAGGGAGTGGCAGAGGCCACTTCAGGATGCCAATCCGCAGGAAGTTAAGAGGTTGAGTAGTGTTTAAGGAGGAGGCCCGGGAGATCGGTGGGGAGAAGCACAGGGGACCTGGGATGTGCAAGACGCATTTGTTGAATCTTAAAGGAGTTGGACAACCCCAAATGGAAGACTGGAGTCTGTGGATTTCCTTCTTTCTTTGGATCACAGCCCAGAAATTTTAAAATAATCGCTAGCATGATAGCTCAGGTAGTAAAGTGTTTGCCCTACCAGTGTTAGGACCCTGTTTCCATCCTGCCCCACATGAGAACGCCAGGTGTGGCAGCTCTGTCTTGTCATCCCAGTGTTAGGACCCTGTTTCCATCCTGTCCCATGTGAGAATGCCAGGTGTGGCAGCTCTGTCTTGCCATCCCAGTGTTAGGACCCTGTTTCCATCCCATCCCACGTGAGAACGCCAGGTGTGGCAGCTTTGTCTCGTCATCCCAGCACTGGGAAGGCAGAGACAGCAGATTCCTTGGGTCAGCCTAACTTACTTGGGGAGTTCCAGACAGGGAGAGACCCTGTCTCAAAAAACATAGTGAAGAATTCCTGAGGATTCCTGAGGTTGACCTCCAGCCTTCAAACACATGCACACCCACACACATATACATGTGCGTGCACATACACACACACATACACATGCACACACACATATGCACACACACACATACACACACATGCACACACACGCACACACATACACACCCACACACATGCACACACCCACACACGTACACATGCACACACACACATACACATGCATGCACATACACACACACACAGAGATGAGCGCATGCACATTTTTCTCTAGTTCACTCATGAAGAAAAATCTCAAGCCATTTGATCGGTTCTCTCAGTCACCTTTAGCAGGAGACACAACCATCACTGAGCGCATTGTTATCAGAAACTTCCTGCATGTTTATCCTTTATTTTTTAGCTTCCTGCTTGCTGTGTTAACTAAATTGTTGTATGCTGAGTCAGAGAAAGCAGCAAAGTCTTATTTTTTTTTTTGAGGCAGGGTCTCACTCTGTAGCCCAGGCTGGTCGGTCTTATGATTAATAGATGGCTGCTCCAAGCCCAAGGTTTGCTTGTTTTTGTTTTGTTTTGTTTTGTTTTTTAAATGTGGATCCTGGAGATCAAACTCAGGTCCTCAAGCTTTCATGGAAAGCACTTCAATTCACTGTGCTAATTCCTAAGGCCCACAGGTTCTGTTTTAAAATCCAGCCTTCTAGCTAGTGTTTTTTTTGATTGGGGAATTGGGAGCATTAATATTCAGAGTGTATTAATTCCTGTCATTTTGTTGGTTTTTGTAGCATTTGGTTTTCTGTTCCTCATTTGCTTAACTACTGTCCTGCAGACTCATGGATGTGTGTATCTTTCTCTTTGGTCTGGAGGATGTCTTCCAGTATCTTCTGGAGGTCTGGCTTGCTGGTCATGGGTTTGTTTAGTCAGCTTTTGTTGCTCCTCCGATCATGATGGGCGATGCTGGGTATAGTAGTCTAGGTTGGCACTGCGTTCTTTCACAACTTGAAATCCATCACTCCAAACCCGCCTAGCCTCTAAATTTTCTGTTGCGAATTCTGCTCTTACTCTGATGAGCCCACCTTTATATGTAGGTTAGTGGTTTTCTCTTGCAGTTTTCAATATATTTTATTTGTTCCCTATATTTAGCATTTTAACTATAATATGGTTTGTACTGTACTTTTCTGGTCTTGTTTCTTTTGTTCTAAATGCCTCTTATCCTTACTTGGATAAGCTTCTCTTTCCTAGCCTTGGGAAACTTGCTCTTACAGTTTAATTGAAAATGTCTTTTTTTTTTTCTGTTTTTTTGAGACAGGGTTTCTCTGTGTAGTTTTGGTGCCTGTCCTGGATCTCACTGTGTAGACCAGGCTGGTCTCGAACTCACAGAGATCTGCCTAGCTCTGCCTCCCGAGTGCTGAGATTAAAGGCATGCGCCACTGCCACCCGGCTGAAAATGTCTTTTATACTTTGGACATTAACTTTTTCTTGTGTGTCCACCATTCATGAACTTGGCCATGTCATAGTGTCCAACAGATCTTGCATATTACATTTGTATATTTTTATTTGTCTTTGTCATTGACTGGATATTCCAGCTCCTCTACCTTGTCCTCAAGCCCTGATACTCTGCCCTGCTGTGACCCATTGTATTGGGGAAACCTTCACGGGGCTTTGCATTTGACTTACCATTTCCAGCATTTCAGAAATGAAGCATTTCCTTCACTCTTTCTCTTTATTGAATTTTATTTTCTTATTTTGTGTTGACTTCCTTCCTTCCTTCATCTGTTTGTAGTCTCATTTACCGAGGAAGGAATGTGGGAAGGAAAAATAAACATAGTAAGACTAGTGATTAGTTTTGGGGTCATAGAGGAAACAGCAGAGGAGCGGAACGTAAGTAGAGAAGGAATGATATTAACAAGAGCGGAGGCACTTTTGACTAAAGGTGGGATGCAAAGCAGTGATCATGGAGCGTAGAAGAAGCCAGCTCTCAGGAAGCTGCGGCACAGAGACACTATAAACGCGGCCAGTCTCTGTTCCTCGGGAGTGGACAATGAAAAAGGAGAGAAGAGTGGAAAAGAGAAAAGAGGAGGAGGAGGGGAGGAGAGGAAGGGAAGGAGGGGGAGGGGAGGAGAGGGAGGGGAGGAGGGGGGAGGAGAAGAGGGAGGAGGAAGGGGAGGAGGTGGTAATACAGGAGGAGAACAGGAGGATGAGATGTGAAGGAGAGAACTGAGGGGAGGTGCAGCGTGTGAACACTCTCGTGTCTGCTGGCTTCCGTCTCTTGGCACGCCTTCCCGACACTCACAAGTCTCTCTCACTTCAGGACTCCTTATGAATGTGCCAGTGCACACAGTCCTTTCAGTGTCCCTCAAATTCCACATGGTTGGCACTAGCGCAGCGATCGGTTTTTAATCTCTTTTAATCATCTATTAAATTTGTCCTCTGTCAATTTCATACCCTCATATACCACATTCTGATCGCTGTGTTTTCACTGTGGATCTTCTTTTGAGAGATCAGGTTACAGATGCTGGTCTGGTCCATAGGTGGTGTTTCCAGGTGGCATCTCAGATCTGGACACATCCTTCTGGAGTCCGGATGAGAATGCAAGCCCTGCTCTATAGTCGGACTTTCTTTGGACCTCCAGCTCCCAAATAAGGACATGGAGACTTATGTATGAAAGCTTAGCCTTAGCTTAGGCTTATTCCCAACTAGCTCTTAAAACTTAAATTAACTTGTTTTTATTAATCTGCCTTCTGCCACGTGACTCGTTACCTCTCCTCCATATTGTTCATGCCACTTTCTCTGTGTCTGGCTGGCGAATCCCACCTCTCTTCTTTCCAGAATTCTTCTCTCTCCCTGGAATTCCTGACTATCCCCTCCTGCCTAGCTATTGACCATTTAGCTCTTTATTAAACCAATCAGAAGGTGCCTTGACAGAGACACATCTTTGTAGTGTACAAAAAGATTATCTCACAATATTTCCTTCTTTTTGTCTAAATAAAAAGGAAAAAGTGTTAACTCTAACACAGTAAAACTGTATACAATAAGAACAATTATCAGGTAAGAATTACATTCACAATGTCCAGTTCATCTGTATTTGACAACTTTAGAAAAAGTATTCTATTATCTATCCTATCTTGACGAGTCCAAAGTTTTGTGCCTAGATCACTTTCTATCATATCTGTATTACCAGCCTAAAAATAACATTTTAGACCTTAAAGCACTTTCTTTGATAAACAACTTAAGCTTTTTTTGTCCTTCAATCTTTATAAACTTTACATCTCCTTTTGAGTTTCTTTTCTGAACTTAATAACAAGGAAAACTGTAAGACTATCTAGTCTTCAACCCTCATCAGAGATCCAAGAAAGATAAAATATTACCTGAGTAAACAGGGAATACAGAGCAAGCAACTTCCAAAAACTATAGAAATGACAGAGACATTGGCTGCCTGGATAGCCACCCAAGTTTCCTCTGCAACATTAGGGCATCCACCCTCGGCCTACAGGCCTAAAATTCCTGTGAAGGAGAAATTTTGAAGGACTGGCCTACCTTGTCTTGGCAAAGTTCAGCAGTCAGCTTCCTTTGTGTTCCGCTGGTCCAGTTTGGACAGCAATCTGTCAGCAGTGGAGGGGGCAATGATAGCTTCTTTCCCAGTGGCTAGCTTTGCCACAACGAAAGCAAACTCCATATGCAGCTTCTTCAGTGCCCATCATCTTCTCTGAAGTAGATTGGTGCTGCCAGGAGCAGATGTATCTCACAGTCATGAAAAGCCCTGTGTTATTAAAACATTTTAAATACCATATTATATAGATCTCTGAAGTGTTTGATGACCACCTAATCTATCTAAAATATGTCTGACCTTGAAAACATATCTAACATGACTACAAGTTTGGTTGTTATACATGACTAACTACTAATCTACATTTCTTAACTATCCTAAAAAGTTTGTAATAATAGCTTCCAAGTAACTACTAACCTGCATTTATTTCTTTCTTTCTTTCTTTCTTTCTTTCTTTCTTTCTTTCTTTCTTTCTTTCTTTCTTTCTTTCTTTCTTTTTTTGTTGTTTTTTTGAGACAGGGTTTCTCCGTGTAGTTTTAGTGCCTGTCTTGGATCTCGCTCTGTAGACCAGGCTGGCCTCGAACTCACAGAAATCCACTTGGCTCTGCCTTCCGAGTGCTGGGATTAAAGGCGTGAGCCACCACCACCCAGCTGGGTGTCATGTTCTTAAAATTACTTCCTGTTGTCAGAGGACCCTGAGGAAATTGAGATAATGGTCAAGTCCTGGGAGAGCTAGCTGTATCATTTGTTGTCCAGTCTCTGTGAGATGAGAAAATGCAGGGCTTATCTGAAGTCCTGGCTGGAATAGTCTGTGAATCTGGACCATCTCAGCTAGCCACTTTGAAGTTGCTCTGGATGCAAATTTTTTAGGAAACTGCAACAGAGGCATTCTGTGAGGCTGGATCACCTGGGCTACTTGTCTTGTCTTCATTAGTGTCTGGTCCTTTCGTTCTGAAAACACACAAAAATTTAAAGGTGACACACATACCTACATTAACACAAGTATGGAATGTGCAGCATGTATAAATCAGCTAAAGATGATTTTCTGCTCTAAGTTCGGGCAGGTAAAAGTCATCTGTCAACTTTATAAATCCATTTGGACTGCATAACCAAACCTCTATCTACGTCATAGGAAAGGATGGCATGTAATAATAAGGCATGATGACTCTGTAGCCAACAAAATTTATCGTGTTTCATCCAACTCAGAGCTGTTCTCATGTAGAGGGATCGGCATGTACGTCACCTGTCCTGTAGTTTTTCTTGGTTTCGTCCTTTATGTCTGCAGCCAAGATTTTCAGGAGGTCTCCTGATCTTTATTAATTCTGAAGAAATTCATAGCTTTTCATTTCCTGTGGAAACAAAGGTATAACCTATCGCCCAATGCAACACATTTCTGACTTCCATTATGAAGTTAAGACATCCTTAAAATACATAGAATAGTTTAATTTAGCAGTTTTGTTTTTTACAATCCAATGTCTCTCACCAGCTGTTGGTTTTTTGTTCATTAGCATTTTAAAAATTTAAAACAATAAAGCACTATATAGGATCCAGACACCTTGTGTTATAATATTTTCCATTTTTATGTGGCTTATTTTTTTTTATATCTTTACTTTATATCTTATATAAAGTACTTTACTCTCTCTAAAAACTTTATCATTTTTAAACTATTTATTATTTATTCATTTTTTTATGACTGTCTATACCCATTTTCTTTTCTTTCTTTATCACCTAAGCGCATTTTCAAGAGTACTGTACCTGTTCAGAGGTGTTTTTTTCTCTTTGGACCTGGTTTTCTATGCTCCTGCAGCTAGCACATGGTGCTAGTTGCTGGCTTTGCCCTGCTCAGGTTGGTCCAGCAGGCTACCACACTGGTTCTGGGCTGCTGCTTGACTCTCAGTGAGAGCCTAACCTCACGGCTGTGGGTACCAGCTGGAAGCTGCATTTACCCACCCCAGCTCTGGGAGTTACTGGGCCGCACACTGTGGCAGGCACTTGTATCTGGTCTCCCACCAGGTAGCACACCAGCTGCTCTGTGCTTGAATATACGTGCCTAACATTGGATGCTAAATAGAGTCAGACTCTCTTTGGACTACCAGCTTCCAAATAATGACAAGGAGGCTTTTCATTAATTATTAATAAAAGCCTTAGCTTAGGCTTCTTCCCAACTAGCTCTTTTTTTTTTCTTTCTTTTTTTTATATGCGTTGGTGTTTTGTCATGGTCCCCTGGAATTGGAGTTAAAGAGAGTTGTGAGCTGCCATGTGGGTGCTAGAAATTGAACCCGGGTCCTCTAGAAGTCGGTATGCTTAACCACTGAGCCATCTTTCCAACCTCCCAACTAGCTCTTAAAACTTAAATTAGCCCTTTATATTAATCTACATTCTGCCACATGGCTTGTTACCTCTCCTCCATACTGTACATCCCACTTCCTCCATGTCTGGCTAGCGAATCCCACCTCTCTTCTTCCCATAGTTCCTCTCTCTCCCTGGAAGTCCCGCCTATCCTCTTCTGCCTACTGGCCCTTCAGCTCTTTATCAAACCAATCAGAAGGCGCCTTGGCAGAGATGCATCTTCACAGTGTAAAAAAGATTATCCCACCACACTGTGTCATCTTCCCCAAGCTTAGAACCTGGGTGAGCTTCTTTCCAGACTCTGGCTCTGACCAGGTTCCCAGCTCACCAAATTCTTTGTAGCTCTTATTCCAAGTTTCTTTCCTGTAATCTCACAGTCCTGTTGTCCAGGCTTTAGTATATCGTCCCATGACACCATGGTCTGGGTCGACTGGGCCACTGACAGGGAAGGGGTCTACGTATATAATTATTTATTTATTATCTTTTAAAGAAATTCATATATAAGCAGTGCACCTAAATAATTCCAGTCTCTCCCTCTCTCCAGCTCCTCCTGTGTCCCTCCCCTGCTCCCAAAGTCATGGCCTTTACAGAAGGAGTGTTTCCAAATTGCCACTGCTCCATTGAATATTGGCTTTTGAGCACAAAGTGCTGAGCACCCAGGGCTAAGAAGTGCCCCCTATTTTTCTATTCCTTAAAAGCACAGTGCAGCTGGGCAGTATGGCACATGCCTTTGCTGTGGATATCATTCTGTATAAATAAAACACTGATTGGCCAGTGGCCAGGCAGGAAGTAGGCGGGACAAGGAGAGGAGAATTCTGGGAAGTGGAAGGCTGAGCAACATGTGAAGATGCCAGTAAGCCACGAGCCACGTGGCAAGGTATAGATGTATAGAAATGGATTAATTTAAGATGTAAGAACTAGATAGCTAGAAGCCTGAGCCATTAGGTCAAACAGTTTAAACAATATAAGTCTCTATGTTTACTTGGTTGGGTCTGGGCAGCTGTGGGATTGGCGGGTGACAGAAATTTGTCTTGACTGTGGGCCAGGCAGAAAAACTCAAACAACATGCCTTTAATCCTGGCACTCAAAGATACAGGCAGATCTCAAGATCTCAAGAGTTCAAGGCCAGCCTGGTCTACAGAATGAGTTCCAGGACAGCCA